TGATGAAAAGATTAATTTCAGTTAAGATTAATTTAAAGATAAGCCTTTAACAAAAAAGATAATAATTTATAAAAATCCGATTTGTTTTTTTAAGAATGTTGATTCTATTTGAAATTAGAATATTTCATGGGCATTCAGATCTACGCTTTGGGTTCGGGTCGGTTCTTTAGATTTCGAGTACCCAAAATGTGAGAGGATTGGACCTGTATAAGATCTGAAAAATTGCTTCGGTTCAGTTCGAGTTTTCTTAGGTTCAGATTGGTTTTATGATTTTGAACAAAAATAGATGAAACCGAAAATACTACTCGGGGCGGTTCGGGTTGGTTTTGAATCGCAATTACCCGAGAAAACAAGACATTCAGTGGACATGTAAATATCCGAATAACCTGATTTACTCGATAAAATGTATATGTATGTATTTGATATATAATATGATATATCTGTAACTTTTCGTTTTGTTTTGTTTTAGCTTGGTAATACAGTGTTTCTTTTAGCTCAGATTGGACCAAATATTTGTAAATATTTTATTTTTTTTGTTGATTAGGAAATTTAACATTTCAAAAATTAATGGTGTATTTCAATCTCAACAAAACTCGTTGTACTATTTTATACATTGATATTGTGCCTTTTCCCAACCTCTAAATAATTCAAATAAACTACCCAAATTTGTAACTGTAATCCATAAACCTACATTGGCCTACACAAAGTTAGTCAACCGTTAAATTTTACTGACTCAGGTGACATGTTAGATCAGAAAGTAAAAATTAGTAGGCCAACAATATACTAGGTGATTATCCGTACCCTATGCAAAATAAATATTAACCATAATTTTTTATTTGAATATACAAATATAATATATATAAATACAACTACAAATATATTAGTTGATATCTTTTATTATTATTTGAGAAAAACACTTTAAAAAAACTACTATATCATGTATTATTAACAACTTTACCATGCTGAGATGTCATTCTCTAAGAGCTTCTCAAAGAATTTTTGCAAACAGGTTCAACTTACTAGATTCATTACATCATATGCCATTAATATTAATTTAATTACATATTAATTTATATTAATTATATTTAATAAAATTTTAATATGTAAAGATATTCTTTCTCTTTCTATTTTTTATTAACATATTTATAAAAATTTAATAAATAATATTACTTTTGTTACTAAACATTATATTTTTTTATCTCATATTTTTTTAATTAATAATTATAATATCTATTTAATAATAAGAAAATCTAAAAAATTTATACATATTATAATTCAAATTTTTTTATATCAAAGCTAAGTATCTTAGTCTGATGTTGGACCAGTTAGATAGAACATATTAATTTAATTTAATATATTTCATGTGCAGTTTTATTCATATAAAAAATACAATTAAAATTAATTATTAAACCAATAATTATCTAGTATTTATGCAATTGTATTACAAAATAAATAAAATTTTAATCATTATTTATAATTGTATAATCAGCATATATATTTGCAATTATAAATATCAGTTAACATTTTTATAGTTATATTTATATATTATATTTACATATTGAATAAAAAATTATAGTTGATATTTACTCAGTACATGATGCGGATAATCACCTAATTTGAATATTAACTGGCAATGGTTTAAATTATGATGTTCTAGCACACGAGCAATGTATATAAGACATATATTGAAGAATAAGATATCAACGTAGATCATATATATTTCTAAACAACCAACGATTAAAGGTACAAAATCAGATTAGCTGGTCGGAGCTATAAAGATACTTATATATCATATTATTGAAAATGAGTTTTACAAAGTAGCATAACCCCAGTATTTATTTACTTAGTATTTTATTTCCCACTCACAATTTTAACAAATTTTCAAATTATATCTTATATATAAAAGAAGATCAACTCTCTCTATATGACTGACACATCATCATTTTTAATTGATATAGAGATGACATGTGTCACTTTTTATAATTTAAAGTTACAATTTTTTGTTACAAAAAATAAAATAATAAATTTTAATATCAAGTTTTAAACTACCCAAAGAAAATAAACAATTTTTTTTCATTATTTACCAGGTGGCTATCCGTCCCCACAA